ATACGTGTTGCCTTCCTTTGAACCCTTTCTAGAATATTTGAGTCCCCTTTTAGACAAGGACTGGCGGCCTGGATACGGTTTTCCATTCTTGACCTCACCAGAGATATATAAGGAGGTGAGCATATCTCCGGTGATTCAAGTGAAGGCTCTGCAAATTGCCCAAAATGACCTGAAACTACGTGCAGCCACCGCGCGACAGTGTGCAGTAGTTTTTAAGTCGTGGCTAACTATAACACTCAAGTCCAAGTGAGTCTGAACTGTTAGAAGTGTTATTCCCTCTTATTCGTGGGAGCTGATGCTTGCTTGTCCGATGCGCATGGTTGCACATTTTGCCACATTGATCGGGAGCATCCGTTCTATCGACCACTCTGACAATTTGTTTAGGTCCTCTTGCAAAGTGGACGTATCACTGTTGCCCTTCAGCCCTCTCCAAATTTATAAGTCATCTGTGTATAGAACCATAGGGGAGTCGGTGAGCATAGATAACTCATCGATACAAAAAATAAATAGGAGAGGTCCGAGTACCGTGCACAGTGGCAATCCGCTACGTACTGTTATACAAGAGGAGAATTTCGAGTTGGTCCTAACCCTCTGCCTCTTATCTATGAGGAATTCCCTGAGCCAGTTTAGCTATCTGCCTTTGATACCAACTTTCCAACTTCATCAGTAGTCCTCTGTGAGGTACTTTACCAAAGGCTTTGCTGAAGTCTATGAAGACGACTTCAACGGGCCTTCTGTTGTCCCTTGATTTGACTCAGCTTTCTCTTGCAATGAGGAGACTTGACAGAGATGAGAGATTTCTTCGGGAGCCGTGCTGTGCTCTGAATAACAAGCTGCTGTTTTCCAGATATGCCATGATGCTTTTCTTGATGATTATTTCCAGTGTCTTGATTAAAGTGCTGGTGGGGCTGATAGGCCTGTAATTTGAAGGGCTTTGTCTTAATCCTCCTATGTGGATGGGGTTTACTATGGCGTCTTTCCAGTCACGCGGTAACACTCCATTTAGAAGAGATAGCTCTTCTTTGGTTGTGGAACACTCTTGTTATACCTTGTGATATTTCTCAACCAGGTGAAACGGAAGGAGATATATCAGGTCCTCACTCTTTTCTTAAAATTTTGGACATTTTAAAGAGCCCTCTGCCTATGATTAGATGAAATTCAAACTGTTGAATCTTTTCTCGATGGCTAAATTGGCCATCATAGGTATTATATGCGTGGCCTTCATTTGAACTCTTTTTCACAGGTATTTCTCCCTTTAAGTGAAAGGCCGGCTGCCTGGATGTGGAATGCGGGTTCTGACCTCATCAGATATGTATGTAAAGTAGTATACATTTCAATGGTGTTTCTAGTAAGGGATCTGGAGCGGGCTAAATTTAGTAAGTCGTTAATTCAGAAGCACCTAGACCAGTGTGTGACTGGAACTAGGAATAATGCGTGCCCTCTATGTCATATGCGCTGATTTTTGAGTGTCAGCTTATACGACTGCGCATTTATCTGAGTCTGAGAAAATCATCCATTCACCTGAACAACCTAGCAGAATTTGAGGTCTTTTCGCAAAGAAAGAGGGTATTTTCAGCAGCCTCCAATTATTTAGGTCACGTGGAAAGAGAACTGTAAGGGATTTGTTGAGGCCAGTTAATGCAAGATAAGTGGGAGGAGAAAAAACTACGTTGTCAAGCTGTTGTCTGAGGGGGCCAATTCGTATGAATCCTGACTGTGTCCCCTTCAATAATAAATCGTGATTAAAACACACTCCGGTTTCATATTCAATCCAGCATGAAGCAAACCTTACTGCAGTTAATAGAAGCGAATTCAATCAGGTTATAATTATCCTTTGGCCTCCAGTCAAGAGGTCTGATGGGTGACAGAAGTCTCCTGTAAACCATTTCGATTGGTGATTTGAATAATTGTTTTGATGGAAAAGTCGGTTTCTGAAAATTCTGTACAGAAATTCACCCTGTGACAGGGCTGGGCAGCGTGGTGTTCCCTCGGTAGTTTGACTAACAGAAGTGAGGTAGGCGAAGGAGTCAATCAATCGTGTGGCCCAAATGTATATCTGATGAAGCAGATTCCTGGGCGATAGCCACAAATCAACAGGAAAACAAACTCAAAAAGTAAATACTCACAATATTCCAATTAACACATAACAATTATTGTGTCGGAAAGTAGTAGGTGATATATGAAAAAGGTAAAACCTATTGATCAACTGAAAATCAGCCTTTACCAAACAGTTAAACAGCAATAGGGGGACTACTGGTGCGGATCAAAATGTCGGCACTACTACTTCAACGGAGGAAAACCCAGTGGTTACTCTTAAAACAAACCCTGCTATAGTACTAGGGAAGCTGTAGAGACTCACATCTGGAAAGTTCCTAGGTTGGGACGACATCAGGCCATCTGTTCTGAAAAAGTGCTCCGAAGCTTTCTGTGGGCTTTTATGTGACTTGTTCCAACACTCGATAGATTCAGGGAAACTGCCAATGGAGTGGGGAAGTGCCATCCTTCCTCCGATTTTGAAGGGTGGGGATAGGCAAAATACCACCAGTTATAGACCAGTAGCTCTACTCTAGTGGTATCAAAAGTACTGGAAAGTATAATTGATGGTCACATCAAGGTGCACCTCGATAGGATCGATAGACTCCATGAAGCACAACATGGTTTAGGAGGGTTAGATGCAGTGTAGCATTCTTACTATCAGCTTGGAACGATTGGGCACCATGGTGGGATACGAATATTCCAATCCATATGGTCTTCCTAGACTTTGAGAAAACATTTGACACAGTTAACAACAACTTTCTCCAACACAAAATAAGCCAGACAGGTATATGTGAGCCGCTTCTGTGATGGTTGAAGGACTACCTAGATGAAAGGAAATTTTGCTCTAAGGTTAATCGAGTCTGATCATCCTCGCACAGCTCGTCATCGGGAGTGTCGCGGGGTTCTATCCCAGGGCCACTAATGTTTCCGATTTTTGCCAGTGACCTACTATGCCATCCAAGCTGCCCGACTCTTCTTTACGCTGACAACATAGAGATTTGGAGAGCAATAAAATGTTCGGAAGGCTCAGATAGGCGGCAAGCAGATCTAAGGCTCCTGGAAGACTGGGCGGTAGCATAATGTAACTACGTACCTGTGCAACAAAAGCTTGCCTTGCACAACATCGCAGTGTGACATAGGTCTAGTTTTAACGGAAAAATGGGCATAAGCGTGATTTACATAGGGTATGTAGCGAGGTCAAATGCGGTCGTAAACTTTACACGTAGACAGTTAGGTGCACTCACTTCTGATCTCTTTTCGAGGTTGCACAAAACTTATGTAAGCCCAAAACTTGATGTGCATAACATCACTGCATCTTCACCGCTTATAACAGACACGGATTTTTCGGAGAGTCTAAAGGCGGGTGGCAAAAGGAGTGGTTGGTTTCCGAAAGAAATTAGGTCTGTTCACACTTAGCTACCATAGGCTTAAGGGGGACTTGTCTACTGCGTATAAGATTACAAGTGACAAGAACCACTCAAACAGAGGCGCTCTGGCATTAAGTACGTGTGGGCATCCTGATGGCGATCTAGGAACGACAGCTTACCGGATGGCGAAAACTCGAGTGCGCCCCCACTTCCTTTCACGCCGACTTTGCGGTGCCTGGAACTCCTTACCGACAGACATAGCTACTGCACCAACGGTAGACAGCTTTAAGCGGAGGCTGGAAAATCATGCAGCTACACAAGGATTGCGTCTAAACGGCCTATCCAATTAAAATCTCACACACTATTAATGGGTGGACAGCTAAACTCATCGTTTTACTTCTTCACACTTTCTCTTATCTTAGTGACCCTATTACACCAAATATTACGTCCCTTACGCTATTATTATTGATATTGTATACATATATGTGTATCAACTTCAATTTTCATTAGCTGTCTGTTTTTACTTTTTATTTCCTTTTCTGTCCTTTAGTCTGAATAATCTACAATAATTATATCTTTTATTATTATATCTTTTCTTTTGTCGACGACACCAGGGGACTAACTGATGAAAGGATCAACTCCATTCACGGCAGAAACACAGTCTTAGGACACCAAATACTACAAACAACATGTAATTAATCCTAACACCACTCCTTTTGGAGTCAACCAGAGATATGGCAGTTCACCGGCGGTATGAACTAGGCAGAAACTAACCAAAGACCAAGGGCGTTAAACTTACAGTCAAGAAGCGAGCAAAAAGAAATGAAAGTGGTTTACACTAGCTCGTAAAAACGATAGTAGATTTCGGTTAACAATGGTTCGTTAAAAACGATACCGAAAGTTCACTTTCAAGAAGGCAGAACTAAGAAATCTACCTAATTTCTATCAGACAAGAAATAAAAAGTTTCTGTGACTCTATAGAGGGAATATATTATGAATCAGAATGCCTTAGGGAAATATATCTGGAATATGAGCCGACCTTGAAGTGGCCTCACTACACCGGGTGGGTTGATTTTCAAGGTCAGGGTTGCAATTTTTGTTTCTGCTGTTTTTGGCTCCCAAAATGTTGTTTTGTCTCAATTTAATAGGGAAGAAGATAAACCATTTCAACAGCCAGACGGCTTTGGACAAAAAGGATTGTTAAGACCCTTGAATTTATTGGATAGTTAGATAATTCGTTGGGATGAGACTTAACCATAAACTTGACGTCATTGATAAAGTCAGGTTTCCCTTACTGCTAATACTAATTAGGATCATATATCTTATAACTTCTAACTGTAACTCTAGACGCTAGAAGTAAGTAAATCAGATCGCAGAAAGTTCTTGGGCGAACTTTGCCCTTCACTTTACTAGTTTTCGTGGTTTCCTAACGCCTTGAAAGCACTTTGTAGAGAAGTGCCCTCTGAGTCCTTTTTGAGGTAAAATGCAGACGTAAATCTGTAGTGAAGGCATTCGTCAGTTTTATCTTTGTGTAACTAATTGCCGGTTATTTACATCATTGTATTATTTGGATAAATTTGAATATCTGCGAGCCTAATGTGTACATTAGGTAGATTATTAGTGTTTAAATGAATGAATGTTTGAATTTCATTTGAAATGTATGGCTATTCTGACGTAAATCACATGAATTGTGTGCTCTTTTTTTACATGATTGGTTCTAATTTATTCGCCTTATAGTCAGGTAACCAATATTGTTTTCATGAGCTAGTGTGAACTGACTTGATTTCTTCATGCTCGCTTCTTAGTTGTAAGGTAAAGGTCCTTGGTCTTCGGTGAACTTCTGCGTACTTCATCCCGCCACTCGACTTCAAAAGGAGTGCAGCCGAGATTGATTATATGTTGTTTGTAGTATTTAGTTTGTTAAGACTGTGTTGCTACTCTGAGTGGATTTGATCCTTCCGCCCGTTAGTCATCCACTGTGGTCGACAAAAGATAATAATAGTAATAGATACAATAAGTGTAGATTATATAGACAGTAAAAAAGGAAACGTGCAGACAGACAGATGACAGAATTTGAAATCTACTTATATATATATATATATATATATGAGTTAAAGCCAATTACCGTAACACTGTTTCTACATACTGGCTTCTGCTTGTTATTATATTGTTTCAAAGTTGCTCTGGTACCCTTAAGTATAGATCAGTCAATCGATGTGCTGATTTTTAAACATCTCTTCGTTCTCCTTAATAACTGAAAAGCTACTGAAAGAAGTTGTCGACATAATATTAAAGTTAAGCACTCCATACAGAGTCTTAAGGGGTTTTAAAAGTTTAGTAATCTTTAGATTTTCTATTATTCGCTTTATGTTCAAGCAAACCGATTCGAACTAAAATTGTGTCAGTGTTGCCTTGTGATAATTTGGCGGGGTGTGTGTGTGTGGAGTAGTTTCTCATCCTCTAACTTATACCGTGAGGAAAAGTAGTAATATATCTATCTATCTGAATTACGTTGATCCCTATAGACTATCTCATAGCCATAAAGAAGGTTAGAGCAGACTGATGCTTAGTACACACGTCCTTTAATCGATAACCAGCCGATTACTATGTAAGTTGACAAACGCTACATGTACGTTTTGTCTTCGTACTCAGATTTCGTTAGCAGCCAGTCCATTGAGGGCTGATTCTACTCCTCAAATAAGTGAATTGACCAGCGCGCTCAGCTTCTTCAATGCGTCACTTTAAGTTAGGGATTGGTTCAATCCAGTCATACAGCATTATCATACCTTTGACAGGAGCCAATCGTATACCAAACTATTTGAAAATATCTGTTCAAGGTGTTCAAAAGACTCTGCATTTTATTAGAGTCTTCTGAAAACACACGCACGCACGCACACAAGTGGAGGGTAGAACTAGAGTTTGCAAAGCATATGACTGACTCAATAATATTGCAGAAATCGATAGGTTATTTATCCGTGGTCATACACCTTCCTGTAAACTCATATATTATCACTTAATAACACATTACAGCCTAAATAATGTTTTAATTTTTAATTACTCGATTTTATTTAGAGTGAATATTTTCAATAAAGGTCTAAACAACACTCAAAAATCTACCTGACAGTACATGAGGATAGTTTTCCCCAATTTAATGTTCGTTAATTCAACCTAAACATTTGAATATTTGGAATCAGATCGTTACAGTCACAAGGTGAGTTTACATATAGTTCGTGTCAATGCCTTGAATCGTATTGGTAGTGGACTTGTGTACTCTCTTCCATTATGGGTAAAATTTATTTTGATAAAGTCTCACAGTAATATTTACTGATGACCATGTTTCGAGAACAACTTATCGCTGATCATAATCATATCAAGGCATTACGCATACAACTTTCTAACTTCGTTTATGTAATTCCATAATTTTCCATCGCCTGATTTGATTGGTAATAGCTTTTCCATACTTACTATTGCGCATGTTGGGTGTAGACTCGATGCACAAGGATTTAGTAATTAAACTCTCTCTCCACCTACCTAGATTACTTTTTAGAATTTTAACCCGCCCCCACCCTATTGTGTGGTTGTGTGTTAATGCGTGCAGTGCAATTGCTGAACTTTTTTTCTAAATTACTTACCTTTTCGGGGTCAACCATTCTTACCTTAGCCAAAAAACCAATGCATTCTGCTAATAGACATTTAGACTTTAATTCATCTCATCCGTTAACTGTCTGTTAAGGCAGGCCTAGTTAAGTGTCTAACAAACCGAGCAGTAGCACTAAGTAGCACAAGGAAAGACCTAAATGATGAAATAAAACAGATAGAAGAAGAGGCGTTGGTATCAAATAAATATCCTTTAAAAAATCATTAGGAAGATCAGAATCGGCCGAAAGCAAAATAAAAATAATGAGGAAACTAGTAATGAAAACTTAAATGAGAGAGAATATAAGGCATTTACAGTTTTACAATATAAGGAAGGGATATCTGAAACCCTAGGTAGTATTCTGAATAAGGCAGAAATTCCAATGGCATTTGAACCTACAAACTCACTCCGAGACAAGCTCTGTAGGCTAAAAGACCCAGTTGACCCAATTAGACAATAATATAATATAATTTACAAAATACCTTGCAATCACTGTGACTCAGGTCAACTACATAGGTTAAACTAGTAGATCAGGTGGGGTTAGTCAGATAAGAATTTAACTTAGGTAAGAATGGTTGACCCCGAAAAGATGAGTAATTTAGAAACAAGCTCAGCAATTGCAATGCATGCATTAACACACAACTACACAATAGGGTGGTGGGCGAGGATTAAAATTCTAAGCAGTAATGTAGGTAGGTAGAGAGTAAATCTACACCCAAAACGTGCAATAGGATTGACTCATCACTCATACCGGAAATATGAAAATACTACTACCAATCAAATCAAGCGATGGAAAATTATGGAATTATATAAACGAAGTTAGAAAGTTATATGAGTAATGCCTTGATATGATTATGATCAGCGATAAGTTGTTCTCGAAACATGGTCATCAGTAAATATTACTGTATAGTACATTGTGAGACTTTATCAAAAATTTTTTACCAATAATAGAATTATACTCTACCACAGTGCACAAGTTTTATTCCTATATCATTATGTACTCTGTAGCTGTACACTCTGTCCTTCTTTATGGCTGTGAGGTACGGATGCTGAAAGTGGAAAATATGAAGAGGCTAGCTATGTTTGACTGCAGGCCTCCAAAGCCTCAGGATGGTCGGGGGTGGGTGCCTTGCGCTGCGGGTTGGCCACCCCTCCGCACACCTCTTGAAATGCTCCCAAATGACCGGGCGTCTTACATAGCCTCTCCTGAGGAAGTCCTACTCACTGCCTTCACGTGGCGGAGGTGTTTTTCACCAAAGTGAGAGGGCGAAAGCGGATGCCCGGCGCTCTTCACCGGGTTGACTGTCCATTGGATGACAGTCTAGGGGAGATGGCTAAACCCTGATTCCAAATCTCCAACGACTGGCGTATGAAGCTCACTGGAGCTCACCGGCAGACGTATGGACAAAGGGCTTGTTGGATGTCCTGGATGTCTGGCCCCATTCAAAAAGGCGCATGAACCGAACTCCGGTCACCGGCTGCCAATGGACAGTGGACTCCCTACTCCACTCCTACTGCCTTGTAGGTCACACTTGGTTGTGTAAAGGCTAGAGCTGCACTCTCAAACAAAAGGCCGAGCGATTCTGGGGACATCACTCGTGCCAAATTCCCATGAAACTTCATGAACTCTCTTACAAACGACTCTCACCATGCTATGGCGTTCCCGGTAAGCGACGCGCCCTGTGCTCACCCGGTGGCCAGTGTAAACCCTGTCGCAAAACCTTGCATCAGATAGCCGCGCCAGGGCAGCGATGATTCGAGATGTTCATGAAGCCGGCTCATCCTTCCGTAGGAGATAGCCGAAGTAAAGTAAAGTAAAAGTCTGCGGTATAATAGGGTGAGCAATATTGAGGTTAGCCATCTGTCGGGTGCTAAGTAAGGAGGGGAAATCAATCGACGAGCCTGTGAAGTTACATTGATTGAGATAGTTAGGACATGTGTTACGCATGCATGCCTAGACATCTATTTCCTCAATAATGGGTAATGTCAGCTGATTGACATAGGATCAAGTTGGAAAAGAGTTAGCCAGTGGTGGTCAAACGAAAACATGGCTTCATCAGTCAATGAAATCTACGATAGTTAGTTTAAGCCAAGTAGGAAGGTATAGACTTCTTGCCTGGCTGGTTGGGGTCCTCGGAATGTTAAATCCAATGAAAGCTGGAGACAATTAGTGATATGGCTGGCTCAAAAGCGTTCTCAATGGCTGGCGTAGATGCACTCACTCTTCGTGGTTTATAATATTCAATAAAACTATATTGCTCTTCCATATTACTGTTTTCTTTTTTGCCTCATATCTCGGTTTATTATCTCTGTTTTGAATCTCTTTTTACTTTCTTCTCTTGCTTTGTTTGCTACAAGGTGAGAGTGTGGCGACTCGAACTGGTGCACATCTGTGCAAAGTCGTACGTTGAAAACAGTCAGTCAGTCAGTCAGGGGATAGACTCTTCAAAATCTGGCATCAATTCAAGAAGACTTTGACAGTTAGTTGGAGCCATGTATCTAGGCATAGACGTCCACATTGGGATCCAATGGATGCTAAGAACCAATGGCTTAATACATGGTTGAAAATCGTCCTCAACAGCTAAGATTCATGCACTCTAGACCCATTAAAATTCATGTTTCTCCGTGTTACTATTCTTTCTCTCTCTCATATTTCACTATTGTTCTTTCGAATCTCTTTGTTTTCTCTCTCTCTCTCTCTCCTTTATCTGCCTCTGTGGGATAAATGGAGCGTTGCAACTTGAAGTCCTACACTTCTGTTTTTTTTCCTTCACGTTCCCCAGTGGAACATAGGGTTTCAAGCTAGTGGTTTGGAGTTTCTGTAGCAGTGTTTCTTTTACAGGATGGGGTTGCTAGCCTCATGCCCAACCTTTCCTCTTCACCAGCATTATTTCTGGCTTAGCGAGGTAAAGGAGTGCGTCGGTGGCTGGGGATCGAACCTCGGACCATGTGCATGGTCAGCGAGCGTCCTAACCGCTATGCCACCGACGCACACTACACTTCTGTGCAAGGTTTTATGTTAAATCTCAGTCAGTTAGTCAGTCAATCAGTCATTAATACACCTTTAACCTGTTTGTTTGGTTTAAGTTGGCGGGAATAAGTGTTTCTTTTTACGAGTTGATCACGGATTGATATCAGTTAGAGAGAACCATTGAAAACCAACCAGGGTGGCATACATAAACTTGTGCCACCTCTGGCGCCGTCGTGACGTTAGCCTGGCTGTCAAAGGTGGTTGCGTATACAATGCTTTGGTGTGGGCTATCTTGCTCTACGCCTGTGAAACCTGGCCTCTCCGAGTAGGCTGAGGATGTGCGGCGACTCTGCGTGTTCGATCATCGCTGTCTCCGGAGGATTGCTTGCGTTCTATGGCATCATCGCGTGAGTAATTCTGAGGTTTGGTGGCGTGTGTTTGAACACAGTGGAGATCACCATTCATTGAGTGTCGTCATCTGGAAACACCAGCTCCGGTGGCTCGGACATATGCTGCGAATGTCATCCCAGAGGCTTCCGTACAAGTCTCTGTTCGCTAGCCAGTCCTGGGACGGGATGGAAAAGGCGGAGGGGTGGTCAGTCCATGACGTGGCGTCGTGGGATGAAGGATATTTGTGTTAGGTTAGCATCGGTTGGTGTGTCACGACTCCCTGGTTGGGGTCCGCGAGATAGCTCGAATCGATGGCTCGAAACGTTATCGGACATGGCGAAGAATCGTAATCAATGGCGAACGTGTTGCAATTTCCTTCTTTCTTCCCTTCCTGATGATAGTTAACGAATACTGTTTGAACTTGTTAAGTATGACTGTTTTCCTTCCTGATGAAGTTCTTTATCCGTTTTCTACTTATATTTTTACTTTTAATCTATGTTGTTTTATTATTATTGTGTGGCGCATCTTTCTTGGTGCCATATTGTACCAAGTTTTTCTGCGTTTAAATAAAATAAAATAAATAACCAGGGAGTACTAAACATCTGTTTCATCCTAGTTTGGCAATCATCATCAGTATTCACCCACTGGTTCTCTAACTGATATCAATCCGTGATCAACTCGTCAAGACAAATCTAACCCTTAAAGCCCACTATTGAGAATTAGTCGGATGCTCACCAGTGACTTGATACTGGACGGAGTTTCTTGGAGTTCTAGTGAGCAGCCATAACCAGTGAGGTCGAACCAGTCAAGTGTGAGAATGGATGTCCCACAGATGACACTGGTTGATGGTCACGCTAAATCACAAATTGGTAGGTTAGAATTTACGGACTGGACGATTGAATCGGGTCTCAGTGACTGAGCTTGCCTTGTAATTGGAAGATTCTGGATTCGAAACCCAGTGATAGGTGCGTAGTGCCGATGATTCCCAAACTAGGCTAACGAAACAGCTGTCCAGTACTCCATGTGGCTGGTTTTCAATGGTTCTCTAAGTGATATCAATCCGTAGTCAAACTGGAAAAAACAAATCTAATGCTTACAAACCAACTATTGAAAATAGGTGGTTAAATGCCATACCTACTATCATTTGAAGAATACTGATAATACTACTCAGTTGCCCAGACTGAAGTAGGTTGGCCGGGACTCGAGCCCGTGACCCATTGACTGATTATTGACTGTGTCAGTCTATAGGTCGGTCGGTATTCGACATAAAACTTTGCACATATGTGCGGTAGTTCAAGTCGCCACACTCCCTCCTTGTAGCACACAAAGCAAGAGAAGAAAGTAGAAGAATGCATAATAGAGACAGTAAACAGAGGTGTCAGACAAAGGAATAGTAATAACGGAAAACAAAACAGTTTCATTGGAAATCATAAGTCACAATTAGTGGATGCATCTGCACCAGCCATTGAGAACGATTTTGAGCCATGTCACCAATTGTTTCCAACCATTGGTTTTTACCGTCCCGATGACGCCAACCAGTCAGGAAGTCTACACCTTCCTACGTGGCTTAGACTAACTGTTGTAGATTTCATTGACTGATGAAGCCATGTTTTCGTTTGACCGCCGCTAGCTCTTTTTTTCCAGCCTGACCCTATGTCAGCTAACATTGCCCGTCGAGGAAGGTGATGACTAGGCATACGTAACACATGTCCTAACCATCTGAGTCGATGTAATTTCACGGTTTCGTCGACTGATTTCCCCTCGTTACCTAGCACCCGACAGATGCCTAACCTCAATATTCCTCACCTTATTATACCACTTCACGCGGGAGATAGAACGCAGACACCTATGATCGAACACAGCTAATCTTTTCATGTCTTCCTCTCTCAATGGCCAGGTCTCACAGCTAGTCATAAAGGAGGACGGAGCGGACTGTTGAGCAGTACACACGCCCTTTGGTCGATAGTCGGATATCACGTCTACGCCAGAGATGGTGTTTACTGGCATATGCGAAACTAGCCCTCTGTATTCGTGCTGAGATTTCAGTCTATAGGTCACTCATACACTCACAATCTAATACGTGGTAGTAGGGGGGGGGTTAATAATCTTAGGCAAGATATGGTTATGATTTTTGTTTCTAAGTTAGGCTGCATTTCTTGTTGACCGGTTATGTTGAACCGAATCGCTCGGTCTCCGTTGATAAGTTACGACTCCTAGTGGAGATGCCTTGATGATATCTTAAGAAGAGCATGGTGTTAATGTGGTTGATGGTGACCAGTAGAAGAAAGCATACATATCCTGGATTCAGGCTTGATTACAAGCTGAAACCAGTTCAAGGATCATTAGAAAATTAGGGAGTACTGGACAGCTGCTGTTTCACTGTAGTTTGAAAACCAGGACGTCCCAATGATAAAGTGAGCTCGTAGACCTATTCAGTTACTACTGGAACCTGATCCAATGGTCTATGAATTCCAACTTCTGCTAATTCGCGATATATGTATGACGCAACCAACCAACTAGCCAATGTCATCAGCAGGTTACTGTCATCTTACCTGACTTGCAGCAAAGAAGAAGCAGCAAAGATAGGACTTCAAGTGAACATAGACAAAACAGAGGTAATGAAGATTCCTGGCCAACATCAACAGCAACAACCGACAACAATCAGCATAAATGGGAGGAACCTGAAGGAAACAACTTCTTTCACCTACCTGGGAAGCATCGTCTCAACTACAGGAGGAACTGACGAGGATATCAAAGCCAGAATCGGAAAAGCAAGACAAGTTTTCATTTCTCTCAAGTCTATGTGGAGGTCAACAGCATCCAGCGTCAAAAATAAGATCCGTATTTTCAACTCCAATGTGAAGTCAGTACTACTATACGGATCAGAGACTTGGCGTGTCACAAAGAGCAGCTCAAACAAGCTACAGACCTTCATTAACAAATGCCTTCGCTCAATACTCAAGATCAAATGGCCGGAGAGGATCAGCAACAAAGATCTCTGGGAGCGAACCTACACAGCAGGAACCGATCGTGAAACAAATAGGCAGGAAGAAATGGAGATGGATTGGACACACTCTGAGGAAACCAGCAAGTGACATCACTAGACAAGCCATTGCTCGAGTGGAACCCGAAAGGGAAGCGACGAGTTGGCCGTCCAAGGGTGACCTGGAGGAGATCATGTGAAGAGGAATTGAAAGCGTGTGGGCAGACTTGGAGCCAGGTGAAAACTACAGCAGAGAACCGAACGCAATGGAGACGCATGGCTGAAGCCCTATGTTCCTCTAGGAATTAAAGGAAATAATAATAATACCTGACTTGCTGGATCCCGCCAGCTCTCTTACTTCTCATTGGAACTCGCCAGTGGGCATCAGACCACTTTTCAAATGTTCGTCTGCAGGGATTTGATTGGTTACAGGTTTTGATGACAAGCTGATATCACATCAGTCAGGAAAACAGTGGAAAACCAGGGAGTACTGGATAGTTTGGAATTCTTCATCAGTACGTACCCACCTGTGCTCGAATCCACAGCCTGCCATTTACAAGGCAACCTTGTAGACTGTGCACTCAGAAATGCATGAAAGCATCCTGTTACTCATTGTTAGTCACCAGTTATGAATCGTGAATAATTTTTTACCTTTACAAAAGGGTTATATTAATATATGTGTAGAACTTGGGCACTGGGGTCGTAAGTAATTCCATATTAGTTTGTTTATTAGATGTATCACACAGTGAGTGAAACAGTATTATTATTTACTGCATGAAAAGAGGTTTCGAACAAAATTTATTCTTCATAATCATGCCATCAATTATAATCACACGACTTCGAAACTTGATTTTTATGGTTTTCTTTGTCTTCTCCTATTTGTTGTCTTTGGGGTAGTAGAATTTTCCAGATATCCCTCTGGACAGGTGTTGAGTCATTCCTATTACATGTATTTGCAGTTGGTTCGATAAACAAAGCTTGTGTTATCAATCAATCTCTCCCTTCACCCTCCACAAAACAATTTAATTTATCTAATACCCAGCAATGATTGTCAGGTCAAATACATAGGTCAAACTAGTAGAACAGGAGCAGTCAGACTAGCCGAACATAAAAACCTAGCAGCAAAATCTAGGTTGGTTGACCCAAATAAGATAAGAAATCTAGAGAATAGTTCAGCCATAGCACTACACTACATGCAGTTACACACAACCATACAATAAGATGGGATGGGATAAGATGACAGTTTCGAAATCTAATGTCACAGGGTGGAGGGAGAGATTGATTGATAACACAAGCTTTGTTTATCGAATCAACTGCAAATACATGTAATAGGAATGAATCAACATCTGTCCAGAGGGATATCTGGAAAATTCTACTACCCCAAAGACGACAAATAGGAGAAGACAAAGAAAACCATAAAATTCAAGTTTCGAAGTCGTGTGATTATAATTGATGGCATGATTATGAACAATAAATTTTGTTCGAAACTGTGTCATCCAATAAATAATAATACTGTTTCACTCACTGTGTGATACATCTGATAAACAAACTTACTAATATGGAATTTACAAAAGTGTTTTTTTAAAAAAAATTTCTTTTTACTAGTTTATTTTCTCCTTGATTATTTCGTCTTCCCCACCCCCCCGTCTGCATATAAAGATGACTTCATTATATGCTAAAAGAATGACACTACTCGCTGGACGTATATTCAAAGATGTCGGTAAACCGATTGACAATAAATCAATGAAAGTTGTCAAGATAATGAGTGAACTGCCACGTCCAATGATGCTCAAAGATTATTATCCAAATTTAGAAGAGTATAGCAGTATCCTATGGAAATTACGTCATGTCGGTTTGTATAGAGATGAACATGCTGATTTTCGTGAAGAGATGGCACGTTTGCGTGAATTACGTGGTAAAGGCAAGAAAAAGAAAGGTGAAGCGGGGAAGCAAACGAGCAAGTGAGGTGAAGCGCGAAGTATTTCAATCGTGTGTATGTGTATGTGTATGTGCGTGTATAATATTGACTTATTAGTAGTTTTGTACATAGTTATATTTTGCCTATAAAATTGTGTGTATTATTCGAGGATTGTGTCGTGTTGTTTTATTCTATAAAAAAAACCTACATCTGTAGGACAATGTACATATTTCTTCAATTTTGTACCAATCCGATACAAAATCAATTTGGTCAGATAGATACCTCACGAATAGAGCAAGACGTATGTATCTGTACAGATGACTGCCTAGAAAATGAGTTAGGATACATCCAAAATACGCTGGTCCAAATGGGTTATCCTAGTAGATTTGTAAGGAGACAGGCACATGAACACCAAGTATACAATAAAGAGAAACTGGCAACAGTTAAAAAGAAACAACTGTTCATGAAATTTCAATTTAATGGGGATGTGGCTAGCGAAGTCCTACATCTGAGATTATCGAGAGCGATAAAACGGACTTATACTGCCGCCACCCTTTGTTTGTCATTTTCCAGTTGACGACCAATTATGATTGCTCAAGTGAAAGACAAGCTACCTAGTGTTATAACTGCAATGAATTGAGGTAAACGCGTCGCCAATTTGTTGTAACTGTGGTCGGAATTAGATGAGGAACGTTGTTGCCTTGTTCTGTCTGCGCCTGACTAATACGCCTATCTGCTTCTGGTACCTTCCGATTCAGCGAACCACGTAAATATCAAAAGACAAAGTCTGGTCTGTGACTGTGTATTGTAGTACAACAACTACGACGACGACGACTACAACAACGACGACAACGACAAATAACTTATTTAGGAAATGGTATTTATACAATTTTACAACCAATAGAGACAGCTAACAGTATTTGAAATAATTGGTCGTAATAGTCAATATCAAAATGCGTGGGAATGATGATATACCACTTATGCGAGATTAACAGTCATTAAGATAATTGAACAATAACAAAGTGCCTGGGAAATGATAATATAACACATATGCGAGATTAACAGTCATTAAGATAATTGAACAATAACAAAGTGTGTGGGATCCTATCACCTAGCTGTGCCACTTCGATGTGTATCTATAAATTTCGTTGCTCCTGTGGAGAGAGCTATATAGGTCGAAAAACTAGACAGCTTAACAAACGCATTAATGAGCATCTTCCTTCCCTCATGGTTTGGAAAAGGTCAAATGAAATCTATAAGAAGTTCTATTTTGGCTCATTTGATTGATGATAGCGGTCTCCAAGTGGACAAAAATAGTGCCGCCTTCAAAGTTATCTATCACATTCCATCGAGCATTTTGAAGGGAATTCGAATCCGCCTTTTACACATAGCCGAAACTATGCGAATTAATTCGAGGGAACAATCCTAGTCTTTGCATACAACAAAAGAAGTTTGTTTTGCCTTTGTCTCTCCCTTGCTTAGCTAGCCTAGGTGAATTCTATTCAAAACCCTCCCACTACCCTTTCTTATTTTCCACCTCCTTCGCATTTTTATGATATTTATTTAAAGTCTGATTATCTGTCCACTTCACTCTTAGTATTACGTAACTTTTAAGATTTGACCTAATTTATTTATTGAATTGTCTACATATACACATATTAATTACTACCTTTGTTTTTCTTATCGCCACCTGCATAAACCTTATTATCATTATTCTTGTTATCATTATAATCACCGTTATTAACTACGTTCAAAACATTTACCACATTATTATTATTATTTGATCCACAAAATCACCGTCATTGGTTAGATTTAAATCTATGTGAATTAGAGTAAAGCCTGAAGAAGATCCAATTGAAAACAGCAATATTGTTCGCCTATTATATGTGTGTCTTGTTCTAATTTTATTCTATGAACATGCTCCCAGTTGGTTTGATTAATTTTGTTTTACTACATTATATTATAAATTATTTAAGTTAATCCCAGCGTGTTAAGAAAATCAAAACAAAAATTTTTCTGAACGTTTCGCTGTGTAAGCCACAACTTCTTCAGCGGATTTATTCAGATTTTTATTAATCATCAAATACATAGCAAAAATATTCATTCAGACATTTATAAAACACAAAATAATCGAGCAAAGAATATTCTTTTCGATAAATTCCTCTCCCAGGCTCTACAATTATATATATGTTTATATACATAAAATATTTTAAATTAGTAGTTAATAACAATATTAGCGTTTTTTAAATAATATCGATTTGTAAAGTTTGATCAATGCTATTACTATCATTATTATTGATAAGAATATGAATCTAAAACCAAAACAGCCCACGTTACCAACAGTTCCAAAAAAGGCCTTGTTCTTACAGATGCAGTTCCTAAGAGACAAAACAAGTGAGATACTAACACATCGTCTTAGAAATGCGGCAAAAAGAGCATTCCCCGCTGCTCAATTACGCTGTATCTTTAAAACCACTCTTCTTCTGCGTTCGGAAATAAAAGACAAACTGCCTAATTTCGCCTCTTCCATGTGTATCTACCAATTTAACTGCTCCTGTGGAGCCAGTTACATAGGCCGTATAATTAGGCGTGTTTCTCGTCGAATTTACGAACATCACCCTGCCTGGTTAAGCAAAGGTCAAACAAAATCTATTCGCAGCGCTATTCTGTCTCATCTTGTGGAGACAGAACACAAGATTGATGTTAACCATGCTTTCAGGGTCATTTACCGCATACCTACGAATCTCAATTTCGCTTTAAGAGTTCGACTTCTAAATATTGCTGAGGCTGTGGGGATTCATATTAATAAGCCTAATTTATGCACCCAAAAGAAGTTAGTTCAGTCATTATCATTACCTTGGCCATCCAGGTTTGAATAATCCAGAATTTTTGTGAAATTTCCCTAATTTTAGTTGATATTCTATTCACTGTTATATCTTTATTATTATTATTATAAATTTAAGCATCTTTAATGAACTGCAATAGCATTGATCAAACTTTACAAATCGATATTATTTAAAAAACGCTAATATTGTTATTAACTACTAATTTAAAATATTTTATGTATATAAACATATATATAATTGTAGAGCCTGGGAGAGGAATTTATCGAAAAGAATATTCTTTGCTCGATTATTTTGTGTTTTATAAATGTCTGAATGAATATTTTTGCTATATATTTGATGATTAATAAAAATCTGAATAAATCCGCTTAAGAAGTTGTGGCTTACACAGCGAAACGTTCAGAAAAATTTTGTTTTGATTTTCTTAAACATGCTGGGATTAATGCATAATAATAATAATTTATAATGAATCAATCTGACTCGACGTTCAAATTATTCCAGGAAGTTCGTAACACCTACGGCCTGGAAACCTATAATCTTACTACATTATAGTTTTAAAGGACTAATTCTTAGTGAACACAAAGACTGACTGGCTAACTGGTTTCAACGTAAAACTTTGCACAGATGTGCAGCAGCAGCAGCAGTTCAAGTCCCCCGTCCCTGTCTATGTACTATACAAAACAAGGTAAGAGGAGTAAGAGGAGAGAGAGATTCAACAAAATAGAAAGAGAGAGAGAGAGATAATAAAAAGAAGTGTGAGGGAAAAAGAATAGGAGTAATATAGAAGAACAATAGAGTTTTATTGAATATGAACCACTTGAAGTTGTCGATAAGTTTGTGTATCTGGGTAGTTGTGTGTGAGTGTTGGCGGGGGGGGGGTGATGATGGCTAAAATTTCCAACTGTATCATGAAGGCTAGAGTGGTATACATCAACTTGAGACACCTCTGGTGCTGTCGCGAAGTTAGGCTGGCTGTCAAAGGTGGTCGGGTATACAATGCTTCGGTGCGGGCTATCTTGCTCAACACATGTGAAACCTGGTCTCTCCGAGTAGGCTGAGGATGTGCGGCGACTCTGCGTGTTCGATCATCTCTGTCTCCGGAGGATTGCTTGCGTTCTATGGCATCATCGCGTGAGTAATTCTAAGGTTCGGCGGAGTGTGTGTTTGGACACAGTGGAGATCACTATTCATTGAGTGTCGTCATATGGAAACACCGGCTTCGGTGGCTTGGACATGTGCTGCGATTGTCATCCCAAAGGCTTCCGTACAGGTCTCTGTTCGCTAACCAGTCCTGGGACGGGATGGAAAAGGCGGAGTTGGTCAGCCCATGACGTGGTTTCGTGGGATGAAGGATATTTGTGTTAGGCTAGTATCGGTTGATGCGTCACGTCCCCCCGGTCGGAGTCTGAGAGATAGTTGGAATCGATGGCTCGAAACGTTATCGGACATGGCGAAGAATCGTAATCAATGGCGAATGTGCTGCAATTTCTTTCTTTCTTCCGTTCCTGATGATAGTTAACGAATACTGTTTGAACTTGTTAAGTATGACTGTTTTCCTTGCAGATTAAGTTCTTTATCCGTTCTCCGCCTATATTTTTGAAGTTTTAATCTATGTTATTTCATTATTATTGCATCGTCTCGGCGCCATATTGTACCAAGTTTTTCTGCTTTTAATTAAATAAATAAAAGTATGACAAATCATAAAGAGTGAGCGCACCAACGACATAATTGAGTAGGAGCGTTTTGAGCCACATCACCAATTGTCTCCAGACATTGGTATTGATTCTTACCATCCTTCGAACCCCAACCAGACAGCAGTCTACATCTCCCTACATGGTTGGATTGACTTAACTGTTATGGATTTTATCGACCGTTGAAGCCATGTTTTGGTTTGACCACCACTAGCTATTTTTCTGTGTCGCCTAGCATTGCCTTTCAAGGAAGGCAGTGGCTAGTCATGCCTAACACGCATGTCCTAACCATCTCAGTCGATGTAGCTTCACAGCCTCGTCGATTGATTTCCTCTCCTAACCTGGCAGTCGACCAATGTCTCACCTCAATATTATTCACCCTACCATACCACTTCACACGGGAGATAGAACGCAGCCATCTATGATCAAGGACAGCTAGCCGCTTTTTTCATGTCTTCTTCGACTTTCAGTGGCCATGTCTCACTCACAGCCATAAAGGAAGACTAAGTGAACTGTTGAGCAGTATACACGTTCTTTGGTCGACACCTGAATATTTCATCTGTACCAGAGATAGCGTAAGTTGGCAGTAAATGCCGAACGTGCCTCTTGTATCCTTGCTGAGATTTCGTCTGCCATT